GGAGGACGATGCACTCAGCCACCTGCACCGAGAGTAAGGTGGGGGTGGGGGGTGAGGAAGAGTCTAGAAAAAAGTCACTCTGGCCACTGTGTAGCTCATGCGGCAGAGCGGTCGGCAGCCAGAAATGAGGATCCCACTCAACCTGCTCCTGGCGGCCCCGTCTGAGCTCACGGCAGGCCCTCCCCGTGCAGCTGCCACGGCAGCGCCTGGCTCCTACCGCAGGGGACAGGCAGACCTGCTCGCATGGTGACACCGCTCTGATGCCAGCACGGCAGGCACTCCTGTACTGCCCACCTGAGCTGGGTCCTTCAGCGTCCTCTCCGGGGGCTGTAGCTGAAACTGAGGTGAGGAGACCTCGTGGAGGGGTCAGAATGGACGGCGGAGGTGTCCGGAGTGGGGACAGGACTTGCTGCAGACCGATGGTCCTCCTGGAGCCCACTCTCCAGGGCAGTGACAGGAGAGGCCCCGGGGCCTGTGAGACGCTTCTGCCTCTCAGGCGTCTCCGGTCGATGTGAAATGCGTGTAAGCGCCCCCGTGAGGTGGAGCGGGCACACTGCATCCCGCCGATTCTCTCGGGAAGGGCCGGCTGGGAACACCAGCGATGGCCGCTGCCCGGCCCCAGTGGTCAGCCCTGGGTGATTTTCTCTAGAACAGCGGAGCGACTTTGTCTCAGGGAAGGTGGTGTGCAGAGAAAAGGACCGTGACGTCGCCTGTCACTGACCTCTAGATATGAGCCAGGCCGTTGTTCAGTTCCTGAGTATCAGCCAATCGCAGCCCCTTCCAGGAGCCTGGGGCAGGTCCAAGGTCACAGAACTGGTTGGTGAGAGGCCGTGCCTGCCTGTCTGACTCTATGTCCCCACGCTCAACAAGTGGACCCACAGTGACGCTCATAGTGGAGAACCCCGGGACCCTCAGACACCACCTCCCTGTGGGAACCAACTCACTTTATCTAAGGACTGCTTGGCGGAGCGTCTCAGCCATAAGACACACAGCGCGTGTGTGCGTGTGTGCGCGTGGAACTTCCGAGGCCTGTTCACGCCCTTTGCCTCCAGCTCCGGGTCCCCTTCCCTTCCTTCACGGCTCAGCACCCCAGCTCCTATTCTTAGCCTGTGCGTTAATGCACATTGTTCATGGTTTTCGCGTTGGATAACTGTGGTGGAGAGCCTTCTATTTTTACAATAATTAAAGGGTTTCAGATCAAATAAGTTAGCCTCCCCTGTGCCCTCAGATAGCCTTGTAGGTTGGGGGCAAAATGCTGAGAGTTGGAAGTAGTAAAGGTGCCGCAGCCCTGTTCGCGGTGCTGAAGGCCATGTTGGGCAAGTTTCAAGTTCACGGCTGGGATCGGGAAACTGCCCGTTTCCCCGGCTCGGTCGGACACGCAGGCGTCTGCCAAGTCTCACGGTCTGATCCCAGGACCGAGGGCTGTGCCCAGGAGGGTGAGAGTCTTGAAGGGGGTCGTCAATGCTGGACCCCTGGACTGGGAGGGCGCGGACCCCAGACGCAGCCTGGCTGCCCCAGACCCCGCCCCCCGGGCCGCTTCACAGCTGTGTGACCCCGCCACGCTGCTCCGCCCGCCTGACCCTTGCCTCTCTCACCTATAAAACGGCGCCTGTCACTGTGCCTGCTTCACGGGGCCGCCGCAAGGATAGAATGAGCTAATGAAAATAAATGAGTCCTATTTGTAAAAAGTGCTCCTACGTGTTAAGTATAATTGCCGTTATGGCAGCATGGGCTCCATTTTTTATTCTGCAAACGACGTTGTCTGCGTCCCCCGCATCTGCGAGGCCGCCTCCCCAGCCGCCGCCGCCAGCTCTGAGGTGCCCGGGCTCCGTGTCCCTGGGGAGGACTTTAACTCCTGAAGCCTCAGGGAGCCCGGGGAGGGGGTGTTAGAGGGCATGCTCTGGGGGGGCTCCCCTGCAGGTAGGGGGGGTCCTTCCCTCCCTTCAGTTCATCCAGAGTAGGTCACAGAGCAGCGAGGAAGAGCGGCAGCACCTGGCACCGTAAGCGCCCCGTCTGCCAGGACTCATGCTCCTGCTCTTCAGTTTGGGGGGTGAGTGTTATTGCCCTGGTTTTACAAGCTTATTCACCATGGGGCCAAGAGCAAGTGAGTTTACTCTCCAGGTGGCCAAGCCTGGGACTGGGCCCCGCTGCTGGACCTGCAGCCCGCGCTAATCAGCGCTGAGACATGGGGCTCAGACTGCGGCCCAGCGTCGGAACCACCTGGGATGCTTGCGAAACCAGCTTGCTGGCCCCGCGCCCTGCGCCCGGTTCAGCGGGGCGGGCCTCTGGTCAGCTGGCTGGAACGCGCGGCTAGGGGAACCTGCCCCCCAGCGAAGCAGAAGAGGCCAGTGCTACAGCCCCAGTCATTGGAAACCGGTTTGCGCAGCTGCCCAGGTCCTCGGGAGGCACAGAGCCAGCACCTGGGTCCCTGTGCCATTTGCAGGTGCAGACAGACTCGCAGCCTGTCCCTGCCCTGGTGAGGCCGTCCGCACGGTGCGGCGGAGGCGGGATTGGGAGCAGCAGCGTGTGGGTTCCAGGGAGCCCCGTGTCCCTGGGGCTTTGTTCCTGGGGGTTCATATCCCCAAAGCTCATGGTGCCTCGGAGGGTCTCCCCGTTGTGCCCCTGCAAGCCCACAGGGCTCAGGAAGGGATGGAGTGCTTGGGGCACGGTGGGCAGGGGACACGGGGTGGGTGAGCCCTGACTGCTCGCCTCGAGTGCTGACCGCCAGCACCTGGACGTCTGACTGCTGTGGGCAGAGGAAGGTTCCAGAACCCTCTGGGGTTCCCCCGGCATTGCCTCGGGGCTCCTGCCGGCTCCCTTTGTGAGACGGACATGGGAGGCCCAGTGCCCTGCCCCCAGACACCCCTGAGGCTGCGGGACGTCCCCAATCACAGCCACTGGAGGATAGACTGGCCTTCCAAAGACCTGCCGTCTTCACTGGGTGACCCGCACTGGGGCGAGCGCTGTGTTTCCTCTGAGCAGTCCTTGTTCTCCTGTGACAGTCCCTTGCAGGGAGCTCTCGAATCTGGCGCTAGAGGGTGGAGACGTGGCGGTAAGCAGGTGGTGCCCCTGCCATGCCACCCGCTCAGACCAGCGCAGGTGGGGCTGGGGTCGACATGGGCCTCGGACACACACAGGGCGGCGGGGAGCCTCGCCCCCCGCTCCTGAGCCTCGGTGTCCAGGCTTCATGCCCAGCCCCGCCTCCTGTGGGGCAGGAAGAGATGCTCCAGAACCTTCCCAGGGACGTGGGGCCGCTGAGCCTGCAGGAGAGGAGCCCCTGGAGAGGGTGAGCAGGGCCAGGTGCTCAGACATCTGTCACCCCAGCCTGCCTCACCGGCCACGCGGGCCACCGGGGGCCGCGAGAGAGGCCCGGCCCCTGGGCCGTGGGCTCCGCGTGACGTGGGGATGGGAATGCAGGCTGAGGGACTGCCGAGCGCCCCGTGCATGACTGCGCAGGCCCGCTGCCCCGGGCCGTGGGGGGGCAGGCTCCGGGGCCCGGGGTCCCCTCTCACGTGCAAACGCCGTGCCTCTGCGGGAACTGTAGAGTTCAGTGCGCCCACTTCCTACCCTGGGAAGGGCGGGTAACAGTTGGCCCCTTATAGAGTCGTCGTGGGGTGAGTGAAACGCACTGATTTAAGGGGGTCCACGGAGGCAGACACGCAGCGGCTGGCAGCGGCAGCTCCAGGATCGCGTCCCTGCCGTGTTTCACGGCACGAGTGCGACATTACTCTCGTCGGCCACTATTAGTGCGGATGCTGCGCTGGTTAGTGATTTGTTGGCGCGGGACCTCGGAAGTCACTCCCGTCTGTCCTGGTTACCTCTCTCACTCTCCGGATGGCCGAGCTTAGAAACAGCCAGGTGCGGGGGGTGGGGGGGGGCGGGCGGGGACGGGGCTCATCCCTATGCTGATAGGAATGGAGGCAGAGAAGTCGCCTGCCCCAGCCGCCCCCTCTCAAAAGGGCACCGATGGCGGTTTGACTCCAGGAAGCACCCACGGACTCCCACGTGTCCCAGGGACAAGCCGCCACAGAAAGCCCTGGGCCCCTAACCTGGAACAGCCCTTCCTGCTGTGGAGTGTCCCGCAGTGGACGGACCGGAACTGGCGAGACCGTCCCCGGCCAAACGCCCCGCCTGAGTGCGGTGCTGCCAGTCGGCCCTCCTTCTCCTCACTCTGCAGGCAGGGCTGGCCCTCCTCCTTGGCCCCCCGGGACCCCTGCCTACGGCAGCCTGGCCCCCCACACGCGCGTTGCTCTGCTCGGTGTTGCGTGGGAAAGCGACAGGGAGGCGGGAAGCTGGGCGGGAGGCCTGGGTGGGAGCCTCCATTGACCCAGACGGAGCGGAGCCCGGCCTGGGAACCTGGGTTGCCCCTGATCGCTCTCAGGGAAGGGCGTGTGGGCGGGGAGGCGAGCATCCGGGCACACGTCCCCTGTGCCCCCACAGCCGCCCCATGGCGTGCTTGTCTCAAGCTCTTGCGTGTGACTCATTCCAATGGAGTTTGCCTCAGCTTTAAAAAAACCTAAATGCCCCCATTGGTTCCCGACTGGGGGCGGCTTTGCCTTCTGGGGCAGTGGCAGCACCTGGACATGGTTCTGGTCACCCCAACTAGGGGTGCTGCTGGCCGCCCTGCAACCCCGGGCAGCCCCCGGCAAAGAACCGCCCAGCCCGGCGGCCACGGCGCCCGGTTCTGCCATCCGCGTGCGGCCCTGAGCTGGCAGTGCGGTGGCCCCGCTGGGTGCGGGGCAGGGACGGGGGCGGGGCCCCGCACCACGCTGCCTGCCGGGTGCTATGGAGACGGACGCTGGGGGTCTCGTTAGGACCTGGGCCCGCACAGCAGGTCTCCAGTGCGGCCTGAGAGCCTGTATTCCTCTCACACTCCCGGGCGGAGCCCGGGCACAGCTGGCCGGGCCGCCCTCTGAGCAGCAGAATCCGGGCCACAGGCGGCCTGTCTCCGGCGTCGTCCTCGTCCTGGACCAACGGCTGTTCTCGTTCTCTCACCCTAGGGTTCCCTGGGCCCGCCTGGCCTCCCCGGGAGAGACGGCAGCAAAGGCGTGCGGGTACGTGTGCTCCCTCCGCCCTTCCCACACGGCAACGCCGGGTCTCGGGGCGCGGCCAGAGCCCCAGCCCTCTGCGGGCGGGGGCGGGGGGGTCTTCGCCAGGGCCAGGCCCGACCGGGGCTCGTTTGTGCCAGCGCCTTCCCAGGTCCCTGAGGTTGGCCCCACGGTGACAACACTGCCAGCAGCCGATGCCGCTGAGCATCGCTTGCATGTCCTCGGAAGCAGTTTCTTAGTTGACACCAGTTCAGTATGGGAGGCCTCATTGTCCCCAAGGCCCAGACTTGGAACCAAGTTGCGGTCCAAGGTTAAGGAGTCACCCCCAACACCAGTGTGTTGGTGGAGGAGTTGGGGTGGGACGCGAGGGGTCCCCGTACCCTGCAGGGCCAGCCACCCCTTCTTGCTGACACCCCGCTGCCCCCTGCGTGCTCCAGAACCCAGGCCAGGCAATCTCTGCTCCAGGGAGAAGGGACTGCAATGATCAGCTCCTTTGCTCATAGAAAGGGGCTCTGAGGGCCCTCGGGGTCTGGCCGCGGGGGGTTGCTGTATTGGCGGTGCGGGCTGCCCGGGCTTTGGGCTGCCCAGGGTGCCGGGCCCGCTGGGCGGTGACCGTGTGCCGCTCTGTGTGCAGGGGGAGCCTGGGGAGCCGGGGCTGCCTGGCGAGGTGGGCCTGCGGGTAAGTGTCGCCTCCAGCTGTCTTCTCCTCGCGTCCCCGGGGCGGGGGGGGCGGGGGTGGACGCAGAGCAGGTGGCGTTCGGTGTGGGGGGCAGTGCCCCAGTGCTTCCCTCCCGAACCTCCTCTCCGCCCCACATGCCGCGTGGCTGTGTCTGTATCATTTCCCTAAATTCTCACAAGGATGAACCCTGCCCCACACTGCCGTGTACGCTTTCCATGTACAGGGAGCGAGGGACCCCTTTCCAGCCCAGCCCCGACAGACCCCGCCCCCCACTTTCCTGGGGGGCGCGTGGTGTTCCATGAGGCACTGCTTCCTGACGTACCTAGCTCTCCTGCTCAGGGCCCCGAGCTTGTGTCTGATTTCATTTGTTTTCTGCTAAAACGAGGGAAGCGGGAAGTGCATGCGCCTGTGTGTGCTTCTCCTTCGCGGCGGCTGTGTTTTCATTTCAGCAGGACAGATAACAAAAACCGTCTACCCTTGGCTGAGGAGGTGCAGGGTTTAATTTTAATAGCTTTTAATACCTGCTGCCAAATAAACCGCTTAAAAGCTGTCACGGTTCACGGTCCAGGCAATGGACGCTCTGTGGACGCCTGCCGGGCGTGGTCAGGGCCTGTGCGGGCCTGTACCCCGGCCCGGGGCAGGTGTGCGTGCTGGGCCGCAGGCACTACCTCGCTGGTCAGCAGCTGTGCAGCTGTCCCGGTCGGTCAGAGCACCAGGGGCCTGGGTCCGGGGCCCGTGGAAATGAGATCGTTGCCCTGGCCTCCTCCAAACTCAGAGCCAGCCCGCTGCTAGCCCTCGAAGTTGAGCGGGTGGGTGAGACAGGGGCGGTCCTGGCTCCGCCGGGCAGGGGAGGAGGGTGTGGGGTCTGAGCTGAGGCGGCAGTGGCGTGGGGCCTCTGGGTGCGACCTCATGGGGCAGCGTGGCAGCCCGTGGCAGGTGACAGGCAGCGGGCGTCACCCCGTGCATGGTGCTGACGCAGCGTTGCCTCTGCTCCTGCCCCTCCTTGTGCACACGGCTCTGCAGGGACCGCACGGCCTGCCTGGACTGCCCGGGCCTCCCGGCCCCGTCGGAGCTCCCGTGAGTACGGCTGCTTCCCTGGAGGGGTTCTGGGCCCTTGTCCCGGGGTGGGGCCCAGGCTCTCTGGCCAGCTCCCCTCCTGCGTCCATCCACGGAGGACCCGGCGTCTGGCACATGTCGATGTGCCAGTGGAGTGGTGGCGATGGAACCGCGGGCTCTGGCCAGCAGTGGGGACTGACTGAAGCCACCCTCCTGCCCTTGGACAAATGAGCTCAGGGGTGGGGGGTCTTCCCAGCTGGCTTGGAAGCCCGGGGTCACCCAGACCAGGGGGCCGGCCCGGAGAGCTCGCCTCCACCCTGGCAGGGCCAAGCTCGGTAGCCAGACCCCAGGGAGGAGAGCGGTCGCCGTGCGCAGGGAGGTTTCACAGGGTTGGGGGTACCCATCCCCAGCGTCCCAGGCAGCCTGTGCGTGGCCCCCAGCAGCGAGGACAGAGAAGCTGACTGAGATGTTGCGTCTGATCTTTGTTCTCCCCAGGGTCTCCAAGGAGAGCGAGGGGAGCGGGGAGCCCGAGGAGAGAAGGCAAGTACAGCCAGCTTCCTGTAGAAAAGAGGCCGCGGGGGCCTCGGCCCGGCTGCTCTGTGCTGGTTTGTGTGGGCACGTGTGTGTGTGTGTGTGTGTGTGTGTGTACGTGCCCATGCCCGCCTGTGTGTGCGGTGAGTGCAGGTGCGGCGAGCATGTGTGCTTGTGCATGTGCACCCCGGTGAGGTCCAAGAGAGGAGGCTCAGCCGGTGTCCCGTTGGCCTCCGGCCCCCCAGGCACACGGGGCGGCATCGCTGGCAGAGCGGCGCCCGCCCAGAGACCCTGGGCCCACTGCCTGCGCTCAGGCCCCAGAGCTGGGCTTTGCAGGCAGCAGGGCTGTGGGGGTGCTGCTTAGCCTCCGGGTTTCAAACTTCCGCCACACGAAGAGGGACTGTGTCTGTTACAGGGGGCCACAACGAGCATTAAATGAGTTAATATTTGTCAAGTCCTTAGAACAGTGCTGAGCAGCATATGCCATCTCTTTAGAAGGTGGGAAGACAGAGAGAGGGGCAGAGAGACAGAGAGAGGGGGAGACGGAGCGGGAAGCATGAGCCCCGGCTCTGCTAGCTCAGCTCGGGTGTGATTTCTGACTCCGGCGCTAACTTTCTGGGTGACTCCGGGCCAGCTGGTCGCTTCTCTGCACCTCCGATTTCCCATCTGTCAGAGAGAAACCTGGGCTGTATGATCCCTTAGGCTCCTTTCCAGTTCTTGTATCTGATGGCCTTAAAACAGTCTTTTATCACGAACCTGCTTTCTTCCATCAGCAAGAAGGAAGTTTCCATCGCCCCCTGAGGCGGGCCCTTCCAGCTGCCTGGCCCCGGCTGGCCGGCGGGCCGGCGTGGAGCTGGGCCAGAGCGAGCTGCCGCCGCCCTTCAGTGAGGCTGGCGCCGACCGCTGTGTGGCCGCCGGGCTTTCTCTGCTGGGGGCGGCCCTTGCTCTGGGCGTTCTCTGGCAGGTGTCCTGGGGATGCGGCGAGGTGTGCAGGCTCTGTGGGCCCAGGGACCGCCTGGTGGGGAGGGTGGTGAGACCCAAGTGGGCTGTGCAGGGGCTGCTGAACGTGGGACAGCGGTATGCTGTAGGGGTCTAGTCAGTCACGCAGAGGAGTCCCCTCATGGAGGGGCCGCAGTGGGGCGCAGTGGGCCCCGGCTCCATCCGGGAGCCGGGCTCCCCTGACACCTTGAGGGGCTGCGACAGACAAGCTCCTGCAGCCCCAGGAGGTTTTCCAGGGGTCCCGCCCTGGGCGGCCCTAACCACATGGCAAGAGCACCGGCGTCAGAATCAGGAGCAGCAGATTTTCACCCCGGCTCTGCCTCTTGCTGCCCTGGGAGCTCGCACAAGCTTCCAGCCTCTCCGACATTTAGGGTGACATTGGCTGTCCCCGGAAGTGGCTGTGAGGATCCAGCAAAGCCAGCTGTGAATGCAGACCCAGGGCCGTCTCCCTCTGTGCACGCTGTTCTAGGAGGGTGGGGGGAGGCGCCCACCAGGCCTGACTGTGTGTGGTCCAGTGCTGGTGTGGATTCCCGCCCTGTGCTGGGCGCACAGAGGCACATCGCGCCTGCACCTGGCACACCTCGGAGCACGCGGCGTGGAAGAAACACGCCACCCAGCCTCCCACGTGAAATGTGTCCACCCACGCCCAGGGCTCAGAACTGCCAAGGCATTCGCCCAGGAGACAGGCTGTAAGCGGGGTGTGCGCGCCCTCTGCTGTTGAGACGCGGGGCCGCAGCAGGGACCTAGCGCGGAGGGATTGATGCGGCGAGTACCGTGGAGGACGCCCTCGATCTCTGGGACGCGGCCCCCTTTCCTGAAACCGGGGCCCTCGGTCATAGGGCTAATGCGAAGTTTAAAGATCATGCCTCCTTCTGTGCCTGACTCTGGAAGGTGCTCTGGACAAGGAGTGTGCTTCCTTGGGTTTGCACCCACTTCCCGGCAGCGGAGGCACGTGACGGTCAGGGGAAGCCTTAGGGGTCGGCACTGCGGCCGCCTGTTTTCTCTTGTTTTTTATTATTTTCACACAACGAAGAAACGAGTACCAGAGGGGTCTTGACTCTCTCCGGGCAGCAGCCAGGGCTGACTGGGCAGGGATGCGGACTCGGGCCTCCTGACGCTGGCTCATGGCTCTGCTCTCCGGTCCCTTGTGTCCCCAGCTCACACCCCTCCGCTCCCATGATGATCTTCCCCCGCTGGCCCCTCTCAGCTGATGCGTTGCTCTCTCCTTTCCCGTGTTCCACTCAGTCACTCTTGGTTCTGCATAATCCGTTTTTAATGTATACCTTCCACATGTCAGGCACTGTCGGAGCATCGCACACGTATTAGCTACCGAGTCACAGCGGTGCCCAGACATTGGCCCAGGGTCACACAGCGTGAGGGGGCGGAGCCAGGCTTTGAGTCTGTGTTGTGGGGGTGACCAATGGTCCCTGCCCCCCGCCACCCCCGAGAGCCCCGCTGCGCCTCCGCCGGTGCCAGGAGCCTGGCTGGTGGCCTGCCAGTCGCCCAAGCTTTGTCCTCTGTCACGCTCGTGTGGTCAGTGCAGGGTGACAACACCTGACAAAGACAGACAGCAGCTGAAGAAAACGGAGCGTCAAGCCTTCAGGTGGGACACGCACTCTCTAGCCTGAGCCTGACCCATTTCTCCCTGTTCCTCCACTCACGTCCCTGCCGCGCTCCTGAAGCGGGTCAGCCAGCCACCCGGCTGTGTGGACCGCTGTCCCCCTTCTTCTGTCCCTGTCCCTGGGTCCATCTCTGTCTGACTGCTCTCTCTCTCTCTCTGTGGCCCGCCCTCTCCTGCCCATCTGCTGCTCTCTCATCCCCGCTGCTCGTGAAAAGCCACATCTGTCAGGGCCCAGCGGTGCCCCTGGCCCCGCTCTCTGTGTGCCCACCAGCCCTGCAGGCTGCTGACGCCACGCCTGCCGGGCCCTTGCCACGCGCCTGCAGCTGTGCCGCGGCAGCGGGGAGGGATCCTGGCCCTGGTCCCGCTGGCCTGGAAGTGCCAAGGCAGGAAGTGAGACGCGGGGCTCGGGTGCCCGCTGGCCCCCTGCTTCAGGCAGAATGGGGTCCGGGGCACAGGGCCAGGCTGTGACCCTGCTGAGCCCCGTGTAGGAGAGCTCAGCACCGGGGATCGGGAGCCTGACTTTGGTCCTGGCTCTGTCGCTAGGTGTCCCTGGGACTCTGGATGAGATACACCCCTGCCCGTTGTCCGTTTTCTCGCCTGTCCTGTGAGCCGGCTGGGTGCCGTGGGCTCAGAGGCAGCGCCAGCTCAGCCACTCCAGGAGCCGTGGGACGACCAGCCTGCTCCCCCAGGGCCTCTGCCCAGACCCAGGGTTGGGGAGGGGGCTTGAAATGAGGACCGAGGGTCAAGGGCTCCAGGTTTCGGTTCCGGTGCAAACACACCTCGCAGGAGGTGCGTGGCTGTACGTCCGGGCCTCAGTCTCCTCACCCGTCATTGGCCTTCAAACCCGCCAACCTCACAGCACTCAGACGAAGAGAAGGTGAAGTAACAGGCGTGGAATCAGCTGGCAGAGAACACAGGCAGCTCTCATTCACTCCAGAACTCATGGAAGGAAGAGATTTTTTAAAGCATCAAATGTAATGGTGCTTGCAAATGGAAATGTGTACATCCTGGTTCTAGGATTTGGAAATCATTCCAGGCAGATAATATGTACAATGAGGTTGGTGTAGGTGCCAGACGGAGAGGAACTGCAGACCAAACTGCTGAGCTGGGACTGGCTCTGCCAGTCCGGGAGGGGCGAGGTGGGAGCCCCTCCCACCTTGGCTTCTGCTTAAAGTGGCCAGGGGCAGCTTTACTTTTTGTCCCCAGACAGGGAGGAGACCATTCCCCCAGGGCGTCTACGCAGAGGCAGCCTGCTAGTGCCTCCCTGCTGTCTGCCTGGACGCCCCGCCTTACCCTGCGGCCCCAGGGCTGGGCCAGAGGGCCTGCCCGGCCTCCCAGGGCAGGAAGCCCACGGCCCACACTGCAAAGGAGCCGAAAGCCAGGCATCCTCCGTCATTCAAAGAACAACAACATCCCGAAAGAGACGTTGTAAAAAAAAATAGAAACAAACACAAAAATAACTTAAGCAATGAAGTCGTGGAAAAATGAAAGGAGAGTTCAGAACAATTTTCATGGGAAGTCCAGCCTTCCAGTCATTCGACGTGTGTCACGTGGGGGCCACGCTGCACACGTCTGGACCGGGCCCTGGGGACCTGCTCACGTGTCCTGTCCTCCTGCGAGGACAAGGAGAGAAACATGGGCGGTCACGGCAAACTGAATCAAGAGCTGGAGGGAGACGACCAGGAGACCGCGCCGGAGGGGAAGAGGGCTGGTAACGCGGATGAAGAGGGAGGAGAGGCGACTCTGGAGTGGGCCCTGCCGGGCGCCGTGGAGCCGGGGAGGGGGGGTGGGGGGTGAGCGAGGGCAGCGGGCGGAAATAAGAGGACGTCGCTGTGTTCCAGGAGCCTCGTGATGCAAGCCAGGGCGCTGAACCCACCCGAGCTCGAGCCCACCTGGTCGGGTCCCCTTCCTTCAGCCACGGCTCCCAGGGCCCACGGGGAGCGGGACCCAGGCGGGGACCGGGGGACACGGGAGTTGCTGTGCGTGGGACGCAGTGGCCTCCGTGGGCTTTGGCTCAGACAGCCAGTGTGGGGCTGGGAGGCATCACCCGCTGGTGTTGTAGGCAGGGTGTCCCGTCCCCCAGCCAGGTGCCTTCGAGGACAGGATCGTCATCATCCCGGGAAACCCAGCCCTTGGCCAGGACCAGCCAGGCGACGAGAGAGTCCCACGCAGCTCCGTCTGGGTGCAAGCAGACGGGTGGGCTTCGGGGGGCTGTGGGGAGGGCGGCCTAGTGTTGGCCGACAGTGAGCTCTTAGGTCTACTCCCAGCGCTGATAAGGTAGAGGGTGCTCACACCTGCTCACCAGGTGAACGGGGGGCGGGGGGTGTGTGCACAGGTGTGGGAGCTGCCTTACAGACCCATGCAGCCTTTACTTTGACCCCCCTGAAGACCAGGGACATGAGGAGGCTGTGCTTTGGGGAGGCTCCGTGGCCTTTCCTTGGTCACTGATTTGGAAAATGAGAAACAGAGCGCGGCCTCTTGTTTCTCTGACCTTTGACCTATGCTCCTTGACCCCCCAGGACACTTAACCACTAGACTGGTGTGTGTGCCCGTGTGTGTGGCTGCCCCGTACCTGAGGGAGCCGGTGGGGAGTGGAGTTGAGCGTGGCCGGGCACGGAGGGCCTTTGCTTGCCTTTCTTCTTCGTGACGTTGACCCCGGGGACGCCCCTCTGTCTCTCATGCCTTCCTTTTCCTCCTTTTGCCAGGGGGAGCGAGGCCTGGACGGGTTCCCCGGGAAGCCTGGGGAGCTGGGAGAGCAGGTAGGTGGGCGCTGGATGGGGGGAGGCACTGGGTCTTGTTGGAGGAGAGGGTGGGCGGTCCTGCCATGGGCGGGGGGCTCTGTAGGCCCGGGGGCCTCGGCCTCCGCCTCCCTCCCCACCCCCGTGGCTGCGGGAAGCCTGGCCACCGACCAGCCCCAGCTCAGGCCCACGGGCAGGCCCTTCCTCCGCCAGAGCCCAGGGCCACAGAGGCACAGCACGTCACACCCCGCCTGCCCTCGGCCATGGGACGTGTGTCCGTGGCCGGACGGTCACGAGGGAGGTGCGCCTGTGCACAGTGGCGCATCCACTGACCTCACGTCCACGAGCGCGGATCCCGAGCAGCCTGCAGGCGCGCGAGTAAGGAGCCCGCTGGACACGTGCAGGGGACCGCGGGGAGGGGCGCACGCCCCGGCACGCTGACAGGGCCGCTGTGCAGCACGGGCGTGGCGGGGACAGTAAAGGCGGGCGCGGCGTGGCGTGGGGCAGGCCTCTCCCACGTGCACGGCGTGGGCGGTCTTCACGGGAGGTCAGTCGGGAAGCTGGTAACCGGCGCTCCTGGGTGTCCTTGCAAGAGGACGCCGGTGGCTGGCCGACGGGACAGGAAGGAGATTTTTATGCATTTCCTTCTTGAACCATGGGAACATGTTCTCCCAAAAGTAACTCTATTTAAATATTTGGTTAAAACTAAATGGAACCTAATATCCTACATCGGCTTGAAGAGAATTAGGAAAACGCGCATTTGCTGAGCCGAATTTAACACATCGATACAGCAGTTAATTCATACATTTATATTATTGGCTTAGAGACGAAGTAAATACATAAGTGAATTATTGTTGATACGTAAGTTTATTTTAATAAATGTCAATTTTGATACGCTACATGAATATAAATGACAGTATAGTTAGTCTCATGGCTGGAAATGGCGTGATGACTTGCAGTTATTGCTGCTCACCAAGCAGGGGCCATGCCTCTTTACATCTTGCCCTCCCCCCTCACATTGGGTCACTAACGTGTGACCGTTTCCTAGATGTCCACTGAGGGCATGACTCACGTGGCCGCCTGGCCTTCTGCCGTGTGACTGTGCCATTGTGGGTCGCGTTTCCTGCCTAACAGCTGTCGCGGCGCCGCCTCCCAGGCCAGGCCCGGCTCTGACCATGGAAGTGCCCACGTGGTGGTGGCCACGGAGCAGGGCCACTGCCCCCGGGAGGGTGGCAGGCAGTGAAGGAACAGATGGGGCGCGATGGCACGGAGGGGCGTGTGAGGGGTCCGAGGGGCAGGGACGCCAGGGAGCGTCTGCTCCCATGGAGGGAGGCTGGGCTCTGTCCGGACCTTGCTGTTCATGGTCCAAGAGGAAGCGAGAGTGCATTTCTAATCACACAGTTCGGATGAATTCCTGCGAAGATCTCTCAGGGGGATGAGCACCGGGCGTAACTGCCTCCCAGCCCCTTCCTCCTTGCTGTGAGCGGGGGGCTCCTGGACCCCTCCTCCCTTCCTGCCCCGGGCTCCGCTGGCTGCTCTGGGAAGGTTCGTCCTGGGAACGCGGCGGAGGAGGAAGGCTCACCTTCATCACATCCTACGCGAGCCCCCCAGGACCCTGGCTTTCCCTGTCGCATTGATGAACCCGGGCGCAGAGTTCAGGTGGCCCTTTCCCTGGTCCCTGGGCCTGGAGACCCCGCCAGCCCTCAGCACCTCGGGACTCCCCCTCAGACCACCCGACTCAGCCCCCCGGCCCAGGGCCAGGACAGGCGCTACAGCGCCAGCCTGGATCCAGAGCGGCCCTGTACAGGGGGTAGCTGAAGGAGAGTTTTCTGGAAGTCTGCCTAGGGGCCTGTGCCTTGGGGGGGGAAGCAAATCACAGCCTGGGGCTGCATCGCATCCACCGGCTTCTCTGCTCACCTACGCTGACAGCCCCTTCTCTCTCTTCCCTAGGGGAGGCCTGGCCCTCCCGGCGTGGCCGGGCCCCGGGGAGAGAAGGTAAGCCCGGCCCCGAGGCGGGCAGGGGGTGGCTCTGGGCTCTGGACAGGCAGGTGTGTGACCTGCCCCCGGGACAGAGCAGGGCCCGGCGGGAGGGGGGCGGGTGGGGGGCCGGGCTGCAGCCGTGGGAACAGAGTACAGGTAGCCCTGGTGCGTCAGCGTCAGGGACTCAGCTAACAAGCAATTTGTGGTTGCTGTTTACCTTTTTTCTACTTTTAGGAATAAAAATTCACTTAATAAACAAATCCCTGTAATGCCGTATTCAGGCATAGTAAACAATTACGCTGCTTAAATTGCCCTGGACTCGGGCGGGCTGGGAATAGCACGGAAGCCCCACAGACCCTCCTCCTCTCCCCGCGCCTCCGTGTGGCCTGCAGGGTGGCTGCTTTCCACCTGAGTAACAGTTCCGAGAGCGTCCTGGGTCATGAGCAGAGGACAGAGTGTCCCTTGTCATACTGGTCCCCTGTTTCAGCACCTTTTCTGACAAGGCTTAGCTCAGGCAACGTGCTGCATGGCCCTGCTGTGTCTCAGCTGGACAAGCTCCCTGTAAGACTTCTTTGCAGGTCGCAAGGGGCTATGAAAATGACCGTGAAGATAACAGCCTTCCCAAGGGTCCGGGTCACGGGGTGGGCGGCGGGTTCTGAGCTACAGCCGGAGGGGCGGCCAGGGAGAGCACCAGGCCCTCGGACGGGCCCCCGGGAAGGACACGGGACACGGGAGGCGACCGGAGGTGGGGAGAGGGAAGGGAGCGCAGGAGGAACCAGGGACCCTCAGGTGGCCAGGGGCACATCATGTCCACTCAGTGTCCCTGAGCGCAGGAGAAGGTCACTGGCTGGCGCAGGCTCGTTCCCGGCACATGCTGATAACACAGGAAGAGGGAGCGGCTGCTCGGACTCTGGAGGCAGGCAGGGGGGATGTTCTAAATAAGCAAACAGGCCCACAGGCTGCGCGACCGCCGCGGGGCCCGGCGCTGCGCGGGTTGGTGTCTGCTGAACTCCCTGCCTCGGGCTGCCCCTCTGGCTGAGTTAACTATTCTCTCCGTCTAAGTATTTTTAGAGCTGGGATTTACATTGTTATACTGTCCTGGTGTCAGGATTTTAAAATGTTCTTGCAGTCCTTGACACAATGCTAAATCCTAAAATAAGTAAGTAGTTTATTTCATGTCCCTAGGAAGAAAGGACCATTGAAGTTCAGGCCTAGCAATGACTTCCTGCTACTGCGAGGGGGTAGGGGCGGAGAGAGGAAGCAGGGAGAAAGGGGGGGAGAGAGAGGGAGGGAGAGGACTCGATTATTATAAATTCTAACCTGCGGCCACGTGTATAGATTTCTTGGCCCCTCCTGTTTGGGAAGCAGCTGAGTTGTTATTGGCTATCATGATGAATGCCGCAGAGGTAGGGGACAAGGCGGGGTCATGGCATTATTTGGGGCAATCAGTGGAATAATCCAGAAACCCAGGGGCTCAGGCGATGGTGCTTCTCAGCTCAGTCTGGGAGGACATCATTGTCGAGAGGAATCCTGGGTGTTTACAGCTTGAGAGAGTCATGGGGGCCACAGAGCTGAGCTCTTTAGCCCCTCGCTTTACAGGTGAGCGCACAGGGGCCGGGGAGAGTTGGGCGTCTTGTCCAAAGTTAAAGCCCTTACAAAACAGTATCAACTGAGATTTTTAGAAACACATCGGATGCTATGGAAAGAGGGGTGACTTTTCCACAGGTGGGAACAGTGGAGTGGGGACCGTGTCAGTTTTGGTATCAGAGAAAACCGGTGCGGCCCATGTGATAGAACCTCTCAGGCAGCGAAGGAGGACAGATGTGCCTTAAGTCACTCATTCTTACTTCTTAGCCTCAGAGTTTGATAGATGCTTTCTTATTCATTCAGCGACTCATTCATTCTTTGCCATCTTCCTCAACGGTAGTTTCCGAAACCTTCCCCTGCTCCCTGAGCTAGCCCCTTGGAGAAAATGAAAAGCTAGTTCCCCAGGCTATAGACGAGGATGTTGGTTATAGGTAGTGTCCGTGTTCCAGCCATAGGGCAGCAGAATGATAGCAGTTAGGGCTTTTCTATCGCTACAGTGGACACACAGGCCACGTGTAGAACCAGGTGGTGGCCCACAGCCTGGCGAGTCTGATCGGCCATGGTCGTCTCTGCTCGCGTCCTGGAGGGAATGGAGGAGACAGGACAGGTGTTATTTGTCATGACTTGTTGAGATGGAGGAGGGTCATCACAGTGCTGGTGTTAGCTCTTTCTCAGCAAATAGTTACTGCGCGCCAACCGTGTGCTGAGCCACAGACTTGCCAGGAGAGACGCGCCGTAAGGGGTCGTTGCTGCTCTTGGTGCATCTGGTACAGGGAGTTGCTCCTGGGACAGTGCACAGGGGCCGCTCCCAAGCAGCTGTGGTCGTGAGAGGACCGACCTGGGCCCTGGACCAACGTGACAACAGAGGGAACCAGTCTCCTCCAGCAGAACCCTTGCGTGCACAGCGGGAGGAGCACGGCCAGGCACGGTGGCCACGTGTGGTGGCGTGCAGAGGAGGAGGCGGCCCTGTGGACGTGCACACAGGGTCCTCAGAGCGGTGGGGGGCAGTGGGGGAAGGTGGCAGAACATGACCTCTGTTGATAGGTCTGTTGCTCTCCGCAGGGTGACGTGGGGCCTGCAGGACCACCGGGTACCCCGGGCTCTGTGGTAAGTGGGGCTGTCCTCAGTGGCGTGAACCTTGGACTCGGGCTGGCGGCACTGAAGGGGTAGAAGAGTCCCCGTCTCTGAGTATGAGGCACAGCTCTGCCGACACTAAAAATGGGGTAAAGTCAGAGAGCGGTCGGAGATGGCTGGGCTGCAACAGGCCATGCAGGCGCCCTAACGGGGCCGGACGAGCTGGACTATTGAGCGAATGCCACCGCCTTTGCTGATGCTGTTTTGTCCCTCAGGTGCAGAGAGAGGGCCTGAAGGGCGAGCAGGTAAGGCAAACGTGGGCCCTCCCGCTGCGGGGCTTGAGGTAGAAGCAGGAATGGAAAGGCCACAGCCATGGGGTCGAAACCGCTTGCTGAGCTCAGACGGAGCCCGGCAGAGAGGCGTCCGTGCACTTCCTGCCAGGAAGGCCGGGGCCCGCCCTGCGTCTCCCTGACCGCAGGGTCCCTGCTGGGGACATGGGAAGTGGCCTCGGAGTCTGCGAAGGGTCATGGGCGGGGGTGGCCCCTTCCTATGGGAGGGAGTTGTGGCTAATGCCTATCTGTCTTGTGTCACCAGGGGGCTCCAGGACCACGGGGTCACCAGGGCCCACCCGGGCCTCCCGGAGCTCCGGTAAGTGCCCCTTCGCAGCCTAGGGTCTGCGCTGAGCACCTGCAGGCGTGGGAAAGAGCAGTCTGCTCGTGACCCGGCACGGTGCTGTTTCAGAAGCTTGTGGCACCGCCCCGAGTGGTCGGTGGTGGCGTCACTATCCCACATGTCTTCCAGGGGAAACTGAGCCCTGGAAGAGGGATGAGACCGGCCGCCAGCCGCACTGTCCCCAGGTGTGAAGCCCGGGTGCCTGCCCTCAGAGCCCCCGGTCCCGAACAGGCCAGACCAGGCCACCGTCGGGGTTTCAGGGGTCCGCTCTGGGTTTTCAGTGTCTGTTCCGACACCACGGACGGGTATATCGGACACTTCACTGCCAGCTGAATCGTGTCCAATGCACGTTGGCTCATCCCACATTCTGATCGATGCTGACTTTGAAGCGGCCTCAGCCTTTGGTTTCTCCTCTATTAGGAGTTTAATGATGTGTAAATAACCATTTGGGAAGAGGCCATGGGCAGGGCCTGGGCGACCATTCTGGGCTGTGAGCTCAGACACTCGGGATAATTAATGAGAACACGGTGACTCCACGGGTCGGCGGCTTCACCGCGCCCCTCGGCAGCATACTGCTGTCTCTTTCAGGTGACGGGATTTTATTGCAGGAAATGAGACAGTTCTTTGTTTGAAATGCCCATAAATCACTTTTCTATTTCACCAGCCAGGCCCATTCCTCATTAGGATAAATGGGTGGTGCTTTGCTGGGGTCATGCGAGACGAAACCTAGAAGATGTTTAATTCCAGTGTAAGCATAACAATTCTGTGTCGGAGAGTTCGGGTCTGAAAAGCTACCTTCTGTGGCCATGACCTTAGACACGTTCCTTAACCACGGGGGGCGGGGGGGGGCGGTTTCCAGGGCTCCTCGCCTTTGTAAGCACTGTCGTGAGATTGTAAGCAGGTACTGCAGTATCTCCTCAATATTTATCTCTCCATACTTATATATTTCAGGCCCGTAATGGGCCAGCACTGAACGTCTATACTATAGTGTATTTTTGTAGGCAGACACATGCATATTAGGTCTGTAGGAAGGTGTTTTCCTCTCTCACCAAAGAAGACACCGGAGTGGAGAGGCCGAGTGGCTCGCACAGAGTCACGCAGCTACTGAGAAGCAGCACTGGGCTTTGAACCCAGAGCTGTCTGCCAAGCCTGCTCTCTGTCAGCCCTGAGTGCCCCGTGCCCTGTCGCTTCCTCCGAGACGTGTAAGGGGAATCCCTTCGCTCCCCCGCGCCCGCCACGGACTAACGAGCGGGCGGCGCTCGGCCAGCTCACTCACCGGGCAGCCGCCTCTCACTCTGGGATCCGGGGGGTAACAGTCGGTGCCTCTCCCCCGTAGGTGAATTTTATTGTGATAAATGAGCGCAGGAGAAAAGGAAGAAGCTTCAAACATTTTTGGCCACCTACCTTATGTCAACCACAATATTGAAGGCTGTGATAGAGAGGTGAAAGCAAAGGGACGGATCTCACGGTGTGATGAAGGAGATAGGAGAGAAGTCAGTTGTGAGCACACCGGGCAGTCTCGAGGGGATGGACGAGAATTCCCTGCACGTGCGAGTCCTGCAGACCATTTACAGAGAGCAAGGAGGGCGCCCTCGCCTTTGGTCTCTGCCGCCTGCTGCTCTGCGGGGCTGTCCGGGGTCTTGAAGGGGGCCCCAGGCTGGATGCTCTTCAGGGACTGGATTTAGTACAACCGGTGGTGCTGGCGAGGGAACCCCCTTGGGAGGAGTTAAAGGAAACGCCCAGCAGCCTCCACCGGAAGCCCTAGTTAAAGCAGAGAGCAGAGAGAGAGCAGGGCTGCGAGATTGTCAACGTGAGGCCGGGGCCAAGATCCCTCCCGGCCCCAAACCCGGAGTGTGTCACGTGGCGCGGACTTAGACACACGCGTAGAGGAGGGGGCCCACAACACGGAGTCAGGTGGGATCTGACTGCAGTGCGGTCTCATGAGGAGTGACGTGGCCGTGGAAGACACTTGGCATCAGAAGCCAGGATGTCGGGTTTCATGTCGCACCTCTTCCACCACATGGTCTTTGGTGGCATGACATGACCGCTCTGGTCCTTCTTCGCTTCGTTCCCTATTTGGAAACCATCTTCTTCTTCATCATCATCATCTTGTCGTCCGTCAGTGTGCTGCGAGGGTTCCGGGAGCAAACGCACAAAGCGGCGCTCTGTGAAACCTCGTTGTTGCCCCGGCCCGAGACCCGTGGCCACACCCGCCCCTTTGGGATGCGCAGCGCCGGCCAGAGCCTTCCGCACATCACCCGCTCCCCAACCGTTCACTGGGTGGAGCCAAACCGGGGAGCTGGCGTCAGTGCCTTCTGTTGGGAATGGAAAACGGGGAGTGTGTGTTGGGCAACCCCGGTGAGAGGACAGCGTCTCCCATTCTCGGAGGGGAACGGCGCACCCCCTCCTGCACCAAGCGTTGGGGCTGTCGAGGAGGCCTGCCCCCCACACGCTTCCCCAAGACGAGGCTGGCTCGGGCAGTGTGGCGGTGTCTGGCTGAGTCGAGAAGGAGGGCCAGCTGGCATTGCTTGATGCGGACACAAACGTCACCTCTGCGGGGTCTTGCCTCGCCGCATGCCCTGAGTGCAACAGAATAGCCCTGCGAGGAAGGGAGACCGAAACCTTTGATCGCTGCGGTTTGTCCGTTTAACTGTTCATTTCCATGGCGTGATTAAGAGCAAAGGCCTTGGGCCTAAACATGGTCACGTAATAGTTATGCAGAACTTGGCAGTGGCGGATATTTGTGTGGTGATAATATTTATCGGAGAGGAGGATGTTGGGATGCAGAGTGTTCTGGCCAAAATTGGCCCGGCACCGCGTTGGTGAGAGAGGCACAGCCGACACCGAGGGTCTCACTCGCCCGCTCACATGCCGCGCCTCCTCCTATGTGCCCTACCTGGGCGTACGCCACACACTGTCCGGAGGTCTGGGCGCTGCGTCAGGAGTTTTGTACCCGTTCTTCTTGTGGCTGGCGCAGCTGCTCGGCAGGCAGGTATGATGCATTATCCTCACTTCAGAGATGAGCTCACGGAGGTCAGGGATGCCAGGGGACCTGTCTGAGGTCCTGGTGCAGGGGCACGTGTGGGGACTGGGGACAGGACTGGAATTAGGTGAGTGTGACGTCTGCCTGCACTGATGGATGTTCCTTGCTCACTTGAAATGATCTTCCTTGGACAATTCCATTTATTTGGGCCGACTGTCCTGTTCTGCATGTTACCGTTGACCCAGTGTCTGATAACCCTGCCAGCTCTCGCTGAGCCGGGAGAAGGGTAGGGGGCTCAGCGCTGAGGCACGTGGGCTCCAGACACTGCTTTTCTGTGCAGTTCACGCAAAGCACTAATGCAAGGCATTGGATCCTCACTCCTCATCTTTAAAGTGGGCGCAGTGTTCCCTGCATCTTGGATGCAGTCAGATGGATGCCCATGGTTTAAAGTTTTATAGGTTGGAGGGAATGGGATGTGTTTTCCCACCTGACCTTCTAGCCTCCCCATTGGAATGGGCCAGCGTTTCCTTACCCAGGGAGAGCGGGGGCCGAGCGGAGCCTGGGGTGTCGAACCCTGGATTTACCAGTGTCTCTTTCTGTTCTCTCTCCCCTCCGGAAGGGTCTTATGGGTCCAGAAGGCAAGGACGGACCTCCCGGTTTGCACGGGCTCCGGGTAAGTAAACTGTCATCCCTTCTACGCCCGGCTCACCCATTCTGGCCCCATTTCAGCAGCTCAGACAGGACGAGAAGCCAGCCGGTGCGTGGAAATGAGTAGACTGAAGGTTAGATTGCGTCCGTCAGACGTGTGTGGGTGGCTTCGGGCCTCCCGTGTGTTCAGCTGTGCCTCGGGTCCTGGGGAGAGTGGAGTGACTTTGTTGTCTGCCCGCATGTGAGCAGAGCCCCCGCAGAAGGGAGCCCGATGCCGAGAGAGCACGGACGAGGGGCGCCTGACCGACCCAACCAGGCAGCAGCCAGGGCTCCTGGGAGAGGTGACGCTGGAGCTAAGTTTTGAGGAAAGAATGAGAAAACTGGGTGGCAAAAGGGTAGAAGGCTGCCAGCAGGCTATTAGCGACTTTATTCTAAACACCCGCGTGATTACGGAGCATCACATGGTCTCACGGTCCCCCGTGTAACTGAATCGTATTTCCCCCCATCTTATCTAGACTGTGTGCACCTCCTGTACCTGACTCGTGAGCACAGCCCCTGACATGAGGTCACGTGTTGTGTGGGGTGTTGTGCTTTAAGGTCATGTGACAGACGGGCGTAGAAGCACCCCTGGGTTAGGCGTCCCCTTTGGCGTCCCCGCCGCAGACGGGGACCGGGCCCCAGCTCTGCGTCCCCAGCCCTCAGCAGGGTGCCTGGCGCAGGGGGGGACTCAAGTCCCCATCGGCTGGCCTTCCGCGCGCAGCACCTTTTCCTAGGTCATGTGGAGAACTGCCCAGGGCACAGCCACGCGAGGATGACGGGCAGCCCTGGGCAGCGAGCTCCCTGCCCTGGAAGGTTAGGTTCGGGGGCCAGGTGACCGCCGGCCGGCGGGTGGAAACGGGGGTCCAAGTTTCTAACAGAGGCTGGCCAGCCCCATGCACGGCCTCTCTTGGCCTGGGGATCCATGGATGGTGTCACGGATTAGCTCTGGATTATTCTAAGGCAACTGGATCCTCTCTCTGGTCACATTTTACATCCTCGGCTCTGAAAGGGGTGCCCTGCCTCGTGGCTCAGCATGGAGTCCGCCTGCCCTGACCCACCAGTGAACTGTCCTTGGGTCCCAAACACCTCTGCCTCCCAGAACCACCTTGATCCTGAGAGGGCTTTGAAGCGAGCTGGGGCGGGAACGGTGTCGCAAAGGAGGGCTGGGAGGGAGGGCGGAAGCCACGTGACCCACCAGGAGACCTTGACTGCGTCGCCTCCCATTCAGCGTCCCCAGCCCTGGCCTCCGTTTCCCTGCCAGGCAGATGGGTCAAGGCCAGGTTGCCCCCTCTTCAGGGTAGTGCAGGGGCCGTGGGCTTTGCAGGGACACGCCGCTGTCCACTTCTCAGCCGCTGTGTCACCCGGGAAGTCCCCGGGTCTCTGTGAGCCAGCTGACTTTGTTGCAACGGAAAGCTCATTCCCCCCACCCTCCGTGGGGCCTGACGGGGGGAGGGAGCAGCGAGATGGGGCAGCTGGGGCAGCTCCCGTTCTCCCAGCATGCTCAGGCGCCGGCGGCGGGGAGAATGGGCGGTATGCTGATGCGGGGGTGACTGGGAGGGGCTCTTTGATCGATGTCTGTACCCAGGTGAGTCTCATCTGTGGGGGGGACCCGTCTTGCTTGGAGCTGGCTTGTCGAGGCCCACGCCTCCTTGCTCGTGACTTCTCGCCCCCGCAAAAGTGCTCATGGGTTCCGCAGGGGTGGCTGTTGTCACCCCCAGCAACACCCTTTATTCCTGGGAGTGGTTCCAGCCGCCGTGCAGTGTCCGACCCTGACCCTCGCCAGGGCCCCAGGGAAACGCACGGAGGCTGGGGACCTGGGGGGCAGGCAGACCCGGAGGAGCCACCAGGGCCAGGGGACAGCGGGAGGACAGAGAGGGGCTGTGTTTACTGAGCTGCTGGCTCCCAGGAGAGCGCTGGCCATCCTCCTCCCACCGGGGAAGGGCAGGCCCGCGGAGAGGACCCGGCGGCCGCCGGGGTGGCGACTCAGGGCTGTCTCCGCAGCCTGGCCTCTTCCCTCCCCGACTCCTTCCACGTGTCTGTCGGTCAACAAAGCCCGGTGGTGCTCACGAGGCGCCGGCACTTGGGAAGTGCTTCCGGGGTCTCCGAGGACGTGAAGGTCTCAGCCTGCACAGGCTCACAGCCTTGGGGACAGTGGGTGCCCAGAGGAGACAGGGGTCTCGCCTGAGGGGACGGCACTGAGAGAGGGAGCGGGGCTGGGAAGAGGGGGCGTCAGGGGTGGTCTTGGGAAGTGACAGGCACCTGTGGGAACCGCTGGGGGTGCTGCAGGGAGGACCTCGGATGCAGGAAGCGCCCCGGAGGGGGGGCGGCGTCCCGCCTTAGGGCCCTCAGTGCTTGTCTGGACCCTCAGTTCGCAAATGCAAGGCGTGGACACAGCTTTGGTGCAGCTCTGCCCACTTCACACGGGGGCCCCGGGTGACCCCGTCCTTCTCTTTTTTGTCTCTCTCTCCTGTCTTTGCCATTTTTCTTCTCCCAGCCCTTGTCCCTCCCCTGCCCGCTCTCTTCTCCCCTTTCCTTCCTTCCACAATTTCATCCATTCAGCACATGTGTCTTTGGCGTTTGCTGGGCCCCAGGCATTGTTCTGTGGAAGAGGGACCCTCCGGGGAGAATAAAGGTCCCTGCCTCGCGGTGTTTGCACCTGGCAGGCAAGGTGTGACCGTACCCATTGGCGTTTGGACAGCGTGCGATGCCCCCGCTGAGAAAGTCACATCTGAGCAGGTTCTCGGGAGGCGAGGGAGCCGGACAAGCCGCGCTGGGGAGCAGCTCCGCGGGCCTGGGGTCGGGGGAGGGCAGCGCGAGCGGAGGTCCGGGGCAGCGCGTGCCGGGCGTGTCTGCGCTCAGAGGCCTCACGGCCGCAGTGAGTGAGGGGCCCACAGGAGGAGCCGGTGTCAGGGAGACGGGGAGCCCGCTCATGTGGGGCCTCGCGGGCCCCGCAGAGGACTGGGGCTTCTGCTGGGGGTGACTCGGGGGGCTAGTGAGTGTTATGAAAGAACTAAACACACACAGAATCAGGGAAAATAGTGAAACGAGCCCCCATAGACCCCAAACCCATTTCAACGCTATCAAGTCACCGGCCAGGCTGCGTCATTTACACCGGCGCCGACGTCCGCCCTGCACGGGGTTCGGCTGGAGCATCGCACCCCTGTCTCTGGACGTTTCCTCACGTGTCTCTCAGAGAAAAGGAGATGGAAAAGAAACGAAACCCCGGTACCGTCATCTCCCTTAAACCTATGAAGACGTTTTATCGTATGTCCATCCTGTGTCCCGACTTCCCCTGGCTGCCGCACGCACTTCTGGGGGCAGCCGGGTTGCGGCAGGATCTGGGGCGCGGGAGCGGCCTGGCTCACACGCTCAGTGCCTCTCTGTGGTCGCCGTGCTGAGAATGGACTCCGTTCGGAGATGACCGCTGTGGCCAAACGGGGAGGGTGGTGGCCCCGAGCAGCGCTGGCTGGGTCAGGAGGTGGGACCCGCGACAGAGGCAGAGCTCGCGGCCTGAAGGACCCAGTGAGCCCGGAGTCACCGGGCAGGGCGATGACAGGGGTACCCCCGGGGCACAGGGGCATCTTCTCTCCTCCTGCCTCCCCCAGCGAATGGAGGACGATGACCGAGTGTGTGTGCAGGGACCCCGGCTCTCCAGGTGTCACTGCGGGTGCCCTGACTTGGGCGTTGCTTTACCCCGTGGCATTCGCTGGTTCAGTGGCCGCACCGGTGGGGCAGCCGAGCTGGGGCGGGGAGGCCGGGCTGACCGCCGTTCCTGTGGGCCCAGGGCCACTGCGTCCCAGGCCCTGAGCCTCCAGCAGAGTCGGGGAGCTGAGAGAGAGCGTCCAACTGAAGAAGCGCCTCTCTCCTTCCTTCCCTCACGCGACCTGCCTTTTCCTCCCCATCGCTTCAGTTGAAACAGAGCTCCTTCCTGTCGCTGCACGCGCTCGGGCTGTAGCAACGGCAGAGGCCAGGCTACCGCAAGTGGTGGTGGGGACCCGGGAGTTGCGAGTTGAGGCTGAAACACCGGGTTGGGGGAGGGGTGTGGGCCCTTTGTGTTCAAGGTTAGCTGCAGGCAGACAGGGTGACCCCTGGCCAGGTCAACGCATGCAGTGGGACAAGCTGGTGTTCTTCTGCCGCAACGCGGTGAACGGGGAGGGTCAGAGCCAGCCCCCTCGGGGCCTGTGGCGGAGCCTTGGGAGCTGCATGCCGCCCCCTGCTGGACGGTGTCAGGCAGTGGTGCCAGGAGGGGAAGGGAAGGCGCTGCCCTTCTCCTTGGGAGGCTCCCCTGCCCTCCTGCTGGTCTGAGCAGGAGGCGCAGCTGAGGTGGGCGGTGCTGTGGTGGCATCTAAACACGCCTGTTCCAAAGTGGAACCAGCCTGGCTCAGGCCACTGAGCACTGGACGTCTCACCAGCTTCCGGGAGGTTGATCTTTCACCCCAAATCCAGTCACGCCCTACTCATCCTCCCCAAAACCACGCGTCCTGTCGCTCTCATGGCAGCCCGTTTCAACTTCCTGCCGAGGGCTCGCCTGGTGGGCTGCCTGTCTGGGAATGTGTTTCGTTTAGTTGTTTTCTCCGCGAGACCGTGAGTCCGTGAGAACCCAGAAGAGGGCCTCACGCTCACCACACGTACATATTTTATATAGGCACACAGCATATAAACATAAAATACATAAATATGCGTAACTTTATAGTCTCTATATGTAGCACCTGGCACAGGTAGCTGCGAGTGTGCGCGAGGCACGTGCGAAGGCTGCTCCCCGGGCGGCCGACCCACTGGGCGGTGGAGAGGCTCGGACCAGGCCTGGCATCGGGCGCCCGGGCTCTGGCCTCCGACACGGAGTGTCCAGTTTTAAAGATGAGAACTTGGTCTCTTCTGCACCTTTGCTTTCGCTCTGCCTTGACCTTGCTCCGTGGTGCTGAGTCCCACCTCAGTCGGCCCAGACATCATCTTTCCTCCTCTTGAGACAAGAAAGAAAAAATATTT